TCTTTTCAGTTTGGTCTTATATTTTCGGTCATTTTCAATTCTGTTTTATTTATCAATCTTATTTTAAACTGGATTGTTTTAATTCCTGACATGATTCCCCATAAAATCAAATGGGGTCTCTCTAAAAATTTGTTGTTTTCAACTATATGTGTCCTTCATTCTCGATGAAGCATAGAAATAAAAAAAAATGCATTGTGCTAAATAATGGGCGTATAGGTGTAAATGTTTTTCTTGTTTTAAATTTTCCTTATTTTTTATTCAGACAGTATCAAATAAAGATGAAAAAAAAAAAATAATAAAAAAAATAAGATTTTTGTCAGACGGTACTAATGACCATATTCATGTTCCAGACAACACTCTAGTAGTTGTTTACATATCAGAAAAACGTTTATACCTTATTTTCTCTTTCTCAGAATATGAAATTTGTCGTCACCTTTAAAACTGTTACATTATCTAGGTTATCATGCAATTATTTAAAATGAAGGAATGATCAATCCAATTGGACGGTTGTTTCTTACTTTCGTTTTCAAAACTTTCGTAAATGAGGGCCTTTGTCACGAAAAAGAAAAGAGTGTGGGAAAAATTAAAGTGGGTTATTATGAGCAACGGGAAATCGTCTTTAGGATTAACAATAACAATTACCACATATATCTGTAAGAAACATGACGAACAAAATAGTTTCAGCACCAAGACACGCAAAATGAAAATGTCAATACATTGAATAGAAATACAATCTTGTACCGTCTTCGTTAATTTTTCTTTCACTTTTTTTTATCCAATCCTTAAAACTACTATATATATAATTCACTATAAAATCAGATATACTTATTACTGAAATTTAAAACGCCTACATGTTTAGCTTTTCCAATATGCCAGTCATACTATGCTACATTGCTCCGCCCTATTGATCATTGAACGGACATTCATCTTACAAACAATTCAATTCTCGTAACATTATTACAGAAAAATCATTGAAGTAAAGATAAGTTGAATGTTTATCTGTAAAAATGCAGTATGAACCAGTCTCGTTTGGTTTGTTGACAGAATATATTAAGATAAAATAGATTGAATTCATTGAAAATATGTTTATTTACATTTGTACATCAAAACAGAAATTATTACATATATAAAAAAAACAAGAATCATGTATCATCACAGAAGGTTATTTATTTCAACAAAAGATTAATTTGGAACTGCAAAATTCATTATTTTTACATGTAATCTGAAACACGTCTTTCATAAAGACGTTAGTAAATCTAGTACTCCATCGCGGGAAAAAAATACCAAAATATACAATTTAACTTTCATTAAATTTTATATTGTCACGAAGAGAGAGAGAGGAAAGAAAAGATAAGTCTATAAAGTGGACGGTGTCCTATATTTGTTAATTTCTGTGTCATCTGGTCTCTTGTGGAGAGTTGTCTCATTGGCAATCATACCACATCTTCTTTTTTATAATTAAAGAACCTTAGTGAGCGCGCTCACATACCCCACGTCCCCACATTGTCACTGGAGAAATAAAATAACAGTAAGAAAAAAAAATTGTATAAGAACAAAAAATTGAATCATAATTTCCTGTCGATATGCACATCTACGTAGTATGTCCTTATTATCTACAAAGTTTCATGAAATTCTGTTGTGTGGTTTCGGAGGAGTTGCGATGACAAACTGTTGCAGTAGTATATTGAAGCAAATGAGTTCAAAGGGGCATAACTCCTAGAAAAAAATTGAATCGTAATTTCCTGTCGATATGCACATCTACATAGTATGTCCTTATTATCTAAAAATGTTTCATGAAATTCTGTTGTGTGGTTTCAGAGGAGTTGCGATGACAAACTGTTGCAGTAGTATAATGAAGCAAATAAGATCAAAGGGGCGTAACTCCTAGAAAAAAAATTGAATCGTAATTTCCTGTCGATATGCACATCTGCATAGTATTTTTGTCCTTATTATCTAAAAAGGTTTCATGAAATTCTGTTGTGTGGTTTGAGAGGAGTTGCGATGACAAGAAACATGACTGACGGACTGACGGACGGGTCAAAAAAATTATACCCTCCGCAACTCGTTGCGTGGGGTATAATTACACTCCGATATGCCTGACAAGAACATATCAAGTGTTTCAATATTAGGCTTCCATATAGAAACATATAATACAAACAATAGACTCTGTCAAATGGTAAGAACCATAACATAGACATCTATGGTATTGTACGTTTATATATACTCGGTCAGTAAATAATGTGGGGGCGTCTGTTGAGCTGTGTGGGATTTATGAATACGTAGCCACGTTCGTTCAGAATGGGACGTTAATTGCGATGCCTCGTGTTATGGGAGAATGCAACTACTATCTGAGAGGTCCGTATGTTGCCTGTTGTAAGCCAAAATTGCTTACCTGACCTCTTTTTCTAGTGACATTTAATGGAAAAACAAAGGATATGGGGTATCCATCCATGACACAAAATCAGAACATGCACAGCAAAAAAAAAAAACGCACAAAAAGCAAAAGAACAGCGCTTTTATTGCTGTTCTTCATCTCAAAGTCACAGTGAGGCCTTCAACACGGAGCAAAAAAACTCTTACCTCACTACAAGTTTAAAACGACCCCTAGCACCGGCTTGAGCGGAATTCTTTGCAAAAATAATTTGGTTAGACTTCGAAAAATGCAGCACCACCTAATCGGGCCATACATCACTATCAATCCCTTCGCAGAACCTGCCATACATATTTATTGTTACTTTGTTCTCAAAATACAAGAAATATTTGCCACTGGGCGTTAAGCAAACAATGATTGATCAATCAATCTTTCACCTTGCATAAAAATAAGGAGATGTGGTATGATTGCCGAAAATCAAATATGACAGTTATACACATTTAGGCATTAATTTTGACAACAACAATAACTTACTTTATTACCAATAATGGACCTACATAAGGAACATATATACAGAGGAATAAACAATATTGATTAGTATAGATACATACAATATAAATACACAATTACAATATTTACCATACAGGCATTTCGACTATAACAGTGTCACAGGCATAGTTATAATTACACTATACATTACAATAGTTTATATACAATAATACAAAATCAAATTATCTTTAACAATTTTTACAGCTGCATTTAACACCTGATTTTTTTCCTTTCTTAGGGGCCTCGGTGCCGAGTGGTTTGGTAGTGCAATCTTTTATATCACTAGCCTATCAAATGTGACAGGTGCGTTCGACTCCAATCTTAATTGACAAGGATTGTCAGTTTTTCTGCCGAAGGTCGGTGCTTATCTCCGGGTACTCCGGCTTCCTCAACCAATAAAAACTGGCAGCAATGATATATAGTCAATAGTGCTGAAATTGGCGTTTAACAGAAAAAAACAAAGAATCAATCAATATACCCGCTTTTAAATAAATATACAAATGAGAGATAACTCTTGACACTTTATAGAATATAATAGAATATCTATTATTTCCGTTATTGGCCCTTGGTTGGGCCACATGGTATTCATATTAGTATTACATTATAATTGATAATAATGTCAGTTATATTCAAGACAGGACCAGAAACGAGTATTGTTACAGTAGCTGTATACATTGCATCAAACACTTATCTCTAGACACTAGATTATGAGCTGCGTAGGATAGAAATCAACCTTAAGCAAATGAATATCAATACATCTGTTAGCCTATTTCGGGTTTAAAAAAATCTCTTTGCAAAGTCTGTAACTGTTTAAAAATTGAGTTAATATAAAAACACTACAGGACAGATCACAATTCATCTTTTATTTTGTATTTGAATTAAATGTTCCAAAATCAATCAAAGTCATGTACATGTAAACTGTACGTGCACTTGCATAAGGTCGATTCGATTTCTATCGGACGCAGCTCATTTATTAATGAAATTGCCTATATATTTCCGTACAGATATACCGAAAAAATATGATATATAATTGTTTACCTCTTTGTTTAATATTTTGCCCTATCATCGGCGTTTGCTGGATAACTGATAATAAAATGTAAGTCATCTTCAACCAGATTTAGAATACATGTTTTTTTACAGTGACTCTAAAGATCTTTCAATGTATGAAGTCTTATATATACCTGTCTCTTTCTATTTTGAGATCATGAGCGCTGATTTTAATTTTACACGGCACAATATATCTTGAGTTTTGAAAATGTAGAAAGACTCTCAATTATCACTGAACTAGTATATATATTTGTTTAGGGGCCAGCTGAAGGACGCCTCCGGGTGCGGGAATTTCTCGCTACATTGAAGACCTGTTGGTGACCTTCTGCTGTTGTCTGTTCTATGGTCGGGTTGTTGTCTCTTTGACACATTCCCCATTTCCATTCTCAATTTTATCTCAAGACTGGTTATAATCTTGAACACCATACTTGTAAATATAAAGTAAATACGATATGTTGATCAGAACTATAGATCTTGAACTTTATCTGGAGATTGTTCATGTGTTATTTCGTCTAGCTTATATAGAAATGGAGCTGATTTGGGTCTAAGTGATCGTTTAGGCGTAACAACGTGTGGTTGACTAAAAGGTCGAAGGTCTATTCGACTCCGTGATTTCTTAAATGGATGTATAAAGAAGGACCAGTCTTTTTTCGCCATCTGTGATGGTCCGCAAGTAGTTCGTGGTCTGCAGCCCTGTAAAAATGCAAAACATTTGTAACTTCGAAAAAATAAAGAAAATATAATACCTATAATACATAATAACAAAATAAATAAAAATTAAAATACTTCAAAGGAAAATCTGTATTTTTTTTTAATTATTTCTGCAGACAAAGAAGATATCGGAAACGAAAAATATCCTATTCTTTATCAACAAAGAAGCGATCGGAAACGAACATACCCTATTCTTTATCTATAGGAAATAATGTCTTATGCAATAAAAGATATGAGTCTTAACTTTTATATATCCTTACAGCATTTAAACTGACTTATTTTTGCTGACGGTATACAGGTAGTACTGTACTTACCTGTGAAATGTCCTTTGTTATAAAATAATACATCCACCAGCCAGGTATGAAGAACACAGAAAACAGAACAGTAAGCCAACCTAAAGCATTGGCCCAGTTAGGATAAACATAGGATCCTAACTTTATTGGCTCATACTGGAGTGCTTTAAGTATCACGACAAGCTGAAATAGAGGAAGAGAATCACTTTGTAAGCAGAAGCAGATATTCTTTGTCTTCTGTTTTAGTGTTTTGGGGTTGCTGTCACATAAACTTATTTATCACATGCATGTACATATGTTGGAGAAATAATTACTACTTATAAGTTCTATAATTTGTGGCTGATGTTACAGTGTATGGAATTTTTCATAAAGATATGTTTAACACGTGATACACTGCTTGTATTAGATGTAAGCTTCTCGTATCTGAGGTGCGTTAGCCCCAAAGATATGAGACCATTACATCTGCTTTACATAGAAAATGCAACTAGTTTTGATAAAACAAGAACAGTGTCACTATCTCAAATTTTCCGGATGCAGTAACACTTTCAGAAGATGTTTTGTAGTTATGTACTTGGAATGAAATCTTGATTGCGTCTATTTTTCTGTCATCAAATTGATACCTTATCACTGCTTTTGCATGGCAATATGAATTTCTGTACTATCTTGCCTTTTTCTGGTTTAATTGCCAAAATCTGAACTTTTTTGCTGATAAATACTATTAGAAAAACATATTAAATCTTCCCTCAAGTACTAGCAACGAAAAGTACAACCAATCGCAAATAATGAACTTTAAATGGTATTTTAAAACATTTTGTATATAATGCAGAAAAAGAACATATTTTTTTTCTTTGCTCCAATATATATTTAATAGATATACCTACACATATTGTTTACATTAAGTTTGGTATTGCTATCACCTTTTTGAAGATTTATCTAACAGATGGTTATAATATAAAAATAATAAGATGTGGTATGACTGCCAATGAGACAACTCTCCACCAGAAACCAAATGACATAGAGGTTAACAGCTATAATAGGTCACCGTACGGTCTTCAACAATGAGCAAAACCCATTTATTAATTCAGTATTTCAGAATATGATGTATTTAGAAGTATCACGCGTTTGAAAACTGACTAGATGGTTAAGTATTTATGAACGTGCCGTTTTAGAATCTAATGCATTCTGGGTGATATTTTCAAATGCGTACACCAAAGTATTGTGATTGATTAAAAAACGTCAAAAAGAATGTAAATTGAACCAATATTAATAACGTGGCGTTATTTTCATTTTGGGTACATTAATGAAATCAACCACAGTCCATTATATTCTAAATGCAGAGATATCATGTCTGTCCATCACTAACGTAAAGTAATTGTATATCAGGCGGTTGTTCAAATCATTAATATGAAAACTAGCAAATCAAGTAGAGTTATGACTTTAGTAAGACAAATGGTTTTAATGAATTTAAAAAACAATACGTCAGTTAAGGCAATTTATATCCCGTCATAACAAAACCAAATTGCTGATTGTCTTTCTCGTTCTCAGTGGGGGAAGTTCAGTCCATCACATTCTAAATGCAGAGATATCATGTCTGTCCATCACTACCGTAGAGGAATTGTATATCAAAGTACAATTAGTTTCTTACATAATGATAACTAGATGACATGTTTTTTTCTGGTCAAAGGAAGACAACTCGACGAGTCTCTTTCACTACCAATGACTTACAGGTTGTCACATGCGATTATTATATATTATGTAATTTAATCAGTGGCGGATCCAGAAATTTTCATAAAAGGGGGAAGGGGGGGGGGGGGGGGGTCACTGACTGCCTAAGAGGGAGCCAGCTCCAGTCATACCTCAGTGATTCCATATATAATCAACCAAATTTTTCCCACAAAAGGGGGGCCCGGCACCCTGCCCCCTCCCCAAATTCGCCTCTGGTAATGTTGCTTTGCTTCCTAAGAGTTCACTAAAATGAGTATACTTTTTTTGTCGGAAATCTTCTGGTTTACACGTATTCTGCTAAATTCAAAGTCCAGTAGAATTTAATCGAAATATTTCATTGCCTCGACTTCGAAGACCTCGTAATTCAAAATTTGTGTCCTTTCCATGAGGGTGTGGATGGGGTGGGGGTTTACAGAATAGAGAATAATGGGCAAAAAAATATAATGAATAGAGAAAAATGGACACACACAAAAAATAAAGAATAGAGAATAATGAGGTGCAAAATATAAAGAATAGAGAAAAATGGCCTAATAAATTAAAGAATTCAAAAATGAAGGACCCCATCCAGACCCTCATCCATTGTCAGGTTTCGTGTTTTGACTGATGAATTTAACGATACTGTCTGCACACGTAGTAAACCATGTACGAACAATAAAATTACCAACCACGCTATAGATTCTCAAACGGCGAATTGATAAAATAATAGTATATGTAACACTGCTACATCTAATAGTTACTATATATAAAAATTAGAAGATGTGGTATGATTGCCAATGAAACAACTCTCCACAAGAGACCAAATGACACAGAAATTAACAACTATAGGTCATCGTACGGCCTTCAACAATGAGTAAAACCCATATCGTCATGATATATGTATGACTTAGTACATTTAACTTGAGATGACAGTTACGATAAACGTACCAATAGTATTATAGGTGCTACAACACACCACGTGACTCCAAAGAAATAAAACGTCACAGTAGTAAATATAGTTCTACCAAGCATCATCTCTATGTCAATCTTGAAATGTAGAAAACCTGTAATGTAAAACAAAGATAGGGCAATTATTGTACAGTGGCGGATTCAGGGGCCGTAGAGGGCGAACGCTCCTCTCTTCGATTGGAAAATGATAATTTTTTAAGCATAAAATTGTCCAAATTTGTCTCGCCTCGCTCGTTTATATTCATTTTGTTGCATTATGCCTTTTTCAAAAATCCTAGATCCGCCCCTGCCGTATATGTTTATAAAAAAACACTTTGAATTAAATATACTAATTGTACATACAAAAAACATAAGAAATTGCGTAATGTAGCATCCAAAGTTAAATCTAATAGTATAGAAGTGAACAAGGATCAATATATTTTGCTGATATTTTTTCCTACAGAAGCTAATGTCAAATATTTAACATATTTTGCAATTTTAGCTATTACAACTCTCAAATATTTTACCAACTCTCAAATATTTCTTCTGTTACCTATTCTAACATCGGACTCGGACTTCTTTTAAACTGAGTTTTACTGTGTGTATTGCTGTGTATTTGTTTATTCTACATTGGCTAGAGGTATAGAGGGAGGGTTGAGAAACATGTTTAACCCCGCCGCATTTTTGCGCCTGTCCGAAGTCAGGTACCTCTGGCCATTCTTAGTCTTGTATGTTTTTTAATTTCATTTCATTTATATGTTTTGGAGTTTAGTTTGACGTCCATTTTCTATGAACTAGTACACATTTTTGTTTAGCTACCAGCTGAAGCCCGCTTCCTGGTGCGGGATTTTCTCGCTGTGCTGAAGACCCATTGGTGGCCTTGGACTGTTTTCTCCTCTATGGTCGGGTTGTTGTCTCTTTGACACATTCCCCATTTCCATTCTCAATTTTATGAAATATTTGCCACTGGACGTTAATCGACCAACAAACAATCAATACATCTCGAAGTTTAATTTTACAAAATTCTAGCGAAAGTAATAACTTGTTTTCGCCTTACCTCTAAGAAAGCGCATGGGATATTTTTCTGTGTCAGAGGTTGAAAAACTAAATCCATATACATATACTACTACTATTAGTTCTATTACTCCAACAATGAGCAAAGGGAAACCTCCAACATAGTTATCTAGAAGGTTAAGCATATACAGTCCACCCTGTAAATTAAATAAAATAGATTTCACGTATTACCTATTACCATTTTAATTTTCCTACAACTGTTTTACTACTGTAAACTTTTAAAAATTTCTCAAAAAAAAGAAGAAAAAAAACAAGCAAACAAACAAACAAACACAATTAATGAAAGAAATCCACTAAAAGTATTCCATTTTCAATTTGAAAATCCTTTATTTGTAGTGCAAGGTCATACGACAAGATATAGGTTTAAAAGATGAAATGTATGATCATAATATTTGTTATAGTACGAATTATTCTTCCTATTCTTTTCAGTATAATTTAGAATACTTTTTTTTTCAGCAAAGTTTACATGTATAATACACGTGTTACTTTCCTGACAATCAATTATACCATTATGGAAATTCAGAGGCCTTTGGCAAAGATTGATTGGTGAATGGTCACTCGAGTAGTCCTTCACAATTATACCTCATCTTCATATTTTTGTATAGTATTGTACTTAAGGTATATATAAAAGTGAAAAATATAACATGCATATTCAGGACGATGACATATTTCAAAATTCATATGAATATATCGTACTGTATACCATACACAATGTACTCGACCATCACGCAGGTCTTTTTCACGTGTTAACTTATAGCTACATGGTATCAGTCCCAAAAAGGACATGGCCAATTTTGAAGTCTTCTGTGTTATCTTACCGAGGATCGACCCTTCGAAGTGGTCACGCTACCACGAAAACACCGAGGTGATTGGCTTTTGAAAAAAATTATGAACCATTTCTATTAGGGAGCTACCATTTGATTTTTATGGGGTGGGGGGGGGGGGGGGGGGGTGGGGGGTGGGGGTTAGGATGAAATTTGAAAAAAATAGGCAGGACAGGAGTTTTGAGTAAAAAAAAAAGGCAGGATGAGACACTTTGCAAAAAAAAAGGCAGGATGACAATTTATGTAAAAAAAAGTCAGGATAAACTAAAAAAAAAAAAAAGGCAGGACCGAATAGAGTGAAAAATAAAAATGCAGGACAGAGATTACAATAAAAAAAAAAATGCAGGACAAAATTTTTCATCCTGGATTTGGTAACACTATAAAATTATTATTCAGAAAATGGCTAGTTTCAGCGTTTTATACAGAAATTTACGCAAAAGTACTCGACAGACACAAAATATTATCACCAGCAATCGATACAATTTGTAATAAATTCAAATATTTGACAATACATATAGATTGACAAAAATGTAAAATTGTCAGTTAAATAAAAATTTCACTATACGTACAATTGAACTGAATCCTAGAATCATCATCATTAGAAAAAAGAGAACAGCCCAAACAGGGGACACAGGCATCTGTGCTAATGCCTCAGGATATACTATGAAGGCAAGTCCTGGACCTGATAGAAAAGTGTATTTATAAATTCGTATAATATAATGCAAAACGATGAAATATGATGTTTGTCTTTATGTTGTGAACGCGTGTATTACGTTTTTGAAAACGTTATTCACATATTTGAGGGGGTGGAAAGGGGGGTACCTTTCTCCTTTCTCCCGCCCCTCTGCTTCCATCTCCCACCTTAACAACCGTCTTTTTTCAGATCAATCGATTTAAATACAAATTTGAATTAATATATGACCATATATAGTTGGCATAGGTCTTTATTAAAGCATATACTGATTTTACGAACAAGGCCCGTCTCCGACTCGTACGCAAATTAATACACAATGTTGGAATGTTGTCAATGGTGCATTGTGCATGCCCCAATGTCAAGAAACTCATTTTTGATACGTATGGTCATGTATGAGGATCATGAAATTAGACATAGTTTTTTATTGTGTCATCTCTATTTTTCCCTGTCCTCGAGAACACCTTACTTTGTATGGTCAAGTGGATAACGTAAATTTTTAAGGTGACCTGGAAAACGCGTTAAGTACATGTAATATTGTTTAGAGGAGGGAGTGTATCTCTTTGACATTGTCAGCATCCCTTCTTTTTAAATTTGTAGAAGATCGCCAAATACTTAGAGGAAACAGATACCCACATGTGAAGGCATAAGACAAGAAAACTAATGAACCTGTGTACATATATCTGGCCTGAAATATTTGTCTAAGTTTTGCTATAAAATATAATATAATATGTACAGAATTAATAGAAATCCATCAAGTGTCTTGGTTTTTTAACAGTTCTCCCACGTCCCGTCCTTTCACAACTCAGTACAGTCAGTACAATTTCCTCTTCCTCAAACGTCTCGCTAACTTTTACATTGATCGTCATTGTATCAGTCTGAAGAGAGCTGGTCAGCCTATTGTAAATCTCCTCATCTAATGTATATACAACCTGACCAGGTAACAAAGGGGGTATTACACTTTCTAATATACAATTAAGTGGTATATCTCTTTGCATGTCTTTATGAAATTCAAGGCCATCATTCTCTTTATACAGAATCGCTTTGCACACTTTGTCAGTTTCAAAAACACGTTCAGTGAGACTTCCGAGAGACAACTGGTCATCCAACATGACCGCCACCAAATCATTTTCATCATAAATAGAGTCTAACACTGGTCCGGCGGGTTCATTTGAACTTTGCAATTGATCAATTGTGCGTGGTTCTGTAAGTGACGGGTCTTCAGCTGTTTCGTTGATTCTAATGTCGGTAACAGACAGATCTATCGATGCATATTTAGGTGGGATATTGTTTTGGTACATGTTGAGAGGCAGCGTACCTGCATTAAACTTCGTTGTATCGGCTCTTACGCTTCGCTGTCGTACTCCTTTTCCATATCTCTCCCTAAATTCAAACATTGGTGGCCTTCGGCTGTTGTCTGCTCTATGGTCGGGTTGTTGTCTCTTTGACACATTCCCCATTTCCATTCCCAATTTTAATAGTTTCACGTCTTCTTTAGAGACACTGGACGGCTTGTTGAAACTTTGGAAACTGTTCAAGGGATAGATACTATTTTGGACTCTCATACCCTGACGTTTCCTTTGATGTGAAATAATGATATCTACAAATCAATACTCTCTTAACACACTCAACGACACCTCTGAGAAAATCCCTTGCACAGTCAATAACTGATGGTGTTTCTGTTTTTAACCGCAACATACTGTGCAATTGTTCATTAACTAACGTAAGAGCTGAATTAATATCAACTTTCTCCAAATATTTTGATTCTATACCAGTAATGTGCTCGGAAAGAGACTCCAACATTGTTCGAAGCATATGAACTGACTGTATTGTTTTAGAGGCTGATATTTTTCGATCCAGAGTCTATAACAAACAGAGTGTTGCCTTCAGTACATATTCCTGATGGTTGCGAAAATTGGCAATCTTTACCAAGACCATCCTCATTTCCTTCCTCTCCTTTCCCAGCGAACAAAAGAACATCAGGTTGGTTAAGTGATACATTTTCAATGTCTTTGATCTTGTATAATGCTCTTTTCCCAACGTCAGAGTATATCAATTCAGTTCCTACTATGGCAATTCCATGTGGTTGGTTGCAGATTTCGGTTCCAGTTTTCAGAATCACAGAGACTGTGTTTGAATCCAATTCTAGGCGCAGAATACCAGCTGTATGATCGGCTAAGTACAGATAGTTTGAACAGTAGACTAATCCAAAACATCCACTCATATCTGGTACACTAATCGAGTATAAACTTGTTCCAAAAAGGGCATAGCCATAGGCAGCAACTTTTTGTTTCACAGAAACCTGCAGTTTAGTAGGTACAACAGCGTCAATGCCAATGTCAAGAACCCTGACTGTGTCTTTTGTGCCTCTTGGAAGACCTGCCGCCTCTATTCTCCTGTTGATAATGTGTCTGAGGGTTTTCAGATTACTTTTTTCGGGTTCTGTTATCTCCAAAAACGTGGCATATTCACACAGATTTATTTTGGTTGATTTAGATATGTCTAATTTCAGAGTATCTTTATGGTCTATGTAGACTAATTTGTTTTTGCCACTTTCACACACGAACAGGATCCCATCTAAATTCATAATCGAACTGGGTGTGCTCAGACCTTTTGCCAACTGTTTGACATCTGCTGGATAGTGAAGTCTAACTGAATATATAACTCCTACCCGATCAGCAACGTACAATACGGACGGATCATCCGAAAGACATATGTCTACTGGTTCCTTTAAAATGCTTTGATGATTGTCATCGCATTTTCTGTACTTTTCCGGAACGACAGTACATACGACCACGTCATTATCTGAATTGTGTAGACAGTCAAGGACTTTTTCGGAACTTATTTCGGCAATTGCAGCAGTTGCCTGTCGATCCTTCCGTTGCACAGAATCCAACGAAATGTTTTCTCTAAACACATTACCCATTATTGTCTGTGTTTGTCTTAACATTCGAAGAATGATCAAATTTATTCGGTAATTGTCAACTAAGAGCCACCAGTTTGACAAACTACCTGCTAGACATTTTCCAATATGGACCGCATCCGAACCTACACTAGTTAGACTTAATTCTGGAATTTGTCGACCCTCAATTTTGTCATCAATTATTTTTTCCATTGCGGTTTTGTTTTTCTGTTCACAATCGTGAATAACAACCATCACGGCCATTCTATTACACTTGATATTGTTCTCGATACATCTCTCACGTGCTCGTAATTGCGGTAGTATAGAAATATGGCCATTTATTTCACACTGATTACAGACCTGTCCCAGCTCACTGCATGCTTCGCAACTTCGATTACAACAAATACTGACATCTCCAACAACTTTTCCCCTTTCTTTTTTCAGTTCGAGACACCCAGAACATATTGGTGCTTCTTGTACCCTCTTTTCTACCAGATTTTTAACATAGTCACTACTCTGTATATATGGTGAATAGTCAAGTCCGACTGGAAGACTTACTGAATTTGTCAAGTCAGTTAAAACCAGAGTGTCAGCATCTTTAATCATAGAATCTTTTAATGTTTTTATACCTGCTACATCTGGATGAGGATTGTTCTTGACATAATTAGCATCTATATCAAATTTTGCACCCACAAGAACTTTCCTAATTGGATCAAAGCTTAGTTCTGGTTTTAAACATATGCCATCTCTACCCATAGACATACCGTTTTGAAAGGATGATTTCTAGAAATGATGATCAATGATCGGAAATGGCAAAAATGGTTTGGGAAATATAAATGTTGACTTTTTTCAAAGATTTGTCCATTTATTAGAACATTTAGTATCCAGTTTTTTCGTTTTTTTACCTCTTTATTATTTTTCAACATTAAAGTTCGTCTCCCTTTGATAGTTCTCCCTCCTTTCTCCCGCCTTTTCTCTCCTTTCTCCCGCCCCCTTTCTCCCTGTCTCCCAATACCCTTTCCACCTACTCATATTTAGATTGATTGGAATATTCAATGACTTGTTTGTTTAAATGCACGAGTAGTCTTTTAATTCTTTATCTGTATAGTATCATATATAACAATACCCCCAGCAGCTACTTTGTCCACAGTAGTGTTTTTCTTGTGCGCCATAAAACCAAGTATAGAAAATGAAACAAATCCAGCATAAAAACTGGTCAGGCAGTTAATGAGAGGAATCATCAACGCATCCCTGAAATAAAATAGAATTAGAAAATAATCAAACAATTTGTTCATCTCTTGTTAAGTGCTACACCTAAATGTGATTATCAAATGTATTTGTGTTTTTCTTTGACATTTATTAGTATTTTGTGGACTTGTTCGTCTCTCGTCGCTTTTGTTTTTGCCATGGCGTTGTTAGTTTTTGTTCGACATACGAGTTTTTAAATGTCCACTTGTTATCTGCAACCTCTTATTTAGATACACAGGTTTAATATTTAAACGTAACATTAAGGCTTTACAAAGTCGGAAACACTGCAACATGTACATGTAAGAGTTAATAATACAAAGACAAGTATACAATAGAAATCCCTCCTATTTTTACAAATTGAAAAAAAGATATTATTACGTTGCATCTATTCTACGAAGCTTGATTTGTAACACTTACACGGATATTTCATACAAATTTTAACTAGATATCATTGTTCACAAACAAAGTGGAACACAAGTAATGTTTATCAAAATCGTGGAACACAAATGGTTTACCAACATAGTGGAACACATATGGCTGACCATTATCAGAACAAATATGGCTTACCAACATCGTGGAACACATATAGTTTACCAACATCGTGGAACACATATAGTTTACCAACATAGTGAAACACATTTAGTTTATTAACAAAGTGGAACAAATATGGCTGACCAACACCAGAACACGTATAGTTAATCAACATAGTGGAACACATAATGGCTGACCAACATCAGAACACGTATGGCTGACCATTATCAGAACAAATGTGGCTTACCAACATCGTGGAACACATATAGTTTACCAACATAGTGGAACACATATGATTTACCAACATAGTGGAACATATATGGTTTACCAATATAGGGGAATACATATGATTTACCAACATAGGGGAATACATATGGCTTACCAACATTGTGGAACACAAAGTCATATGAATTACCAACATAGAACATATATAGCGTACCAACATTGTGGAATACATATGGCTAACCAATATAGTGGAACACATGTACTTGCCTCAGGCAATTATTCCTGAATTCGTTGTAGCTGGACATGGCTATCAGACCCCCAACACAAGTACCAAGAGAGTAGAATATTTGTACAGCTGCATCACTCCAAACCTTCAATTAGAATGATGCAAACTCAAGAACAACAAATATATATTATTATTTGAAAACTTATTATAGAACTGCTGGTTAATGTTGTCCAACATTAAGTAGGAAAGTTAAGATTGCATATGTACGCTCTATTATCATGGGCATGCAGTTGTTTGTACAAGACCATAGAATGGAATTAGTATCGCTTATCTTATCAAAGCTGTCAAATATTTGGGTTGATCGTATCAGCTTATTTGAAACATCTGTTGACAAGTGTGCAATAGATATACATTCGGCAACAAAGTTTATTGATAGATGAACTAGCTTAGTTGACATTAATACATTTCGCTCCAAATAACAACATTATGATCATTAAATATATAATGTTCACTCTATATTTCAAGGAATACATTAATCTTATAGCAAAAAAGTTAAAGAAATCGACCTTCTTTGAATTAGATGCTTCAATGTTTAAAACAAACAAACTGCTCTTCTTGGTCGTACAATGTAAGTGACAATAATTTGAATCTCAACATGGTTGACATCGCATAACATAACATTTAACATTCAATTCAAAGAAATATAAATGTACAAAGTCATGTAATTGCAGCTTTTTCATGGAATGATCTCAGAGATTGTCAATGGCGTACTCACCTCAGCCTTTTTTAGTTTCTCAAAATCTGGAGTCAGATAAAACTTGATTCCCTCCATATGCCCTTCCAATGTACAACCGCGGATAAGTAGTGCTATTAGAAGGAAGTAAGGGAAAATGGCGGTAAAATAAACAACCTGAAAAAAAGTGATGACACCTTTTATAGCAGCTATAACATAATACTAGTCAACAAGAGAAACGAATCACCAGTTTAAACTGAAATTTATTTTAAAATATGATAAACAGATTAAAAGTCTTAATTGGTCTAATAAAAAAAAACATTCATTTGCAAAGATATTCCATACAATTTAGAAAATCTTACCAAGTAAGAAACTTTTCATTGAGAAAATGACGTATCATTAAACGAAGGGTCATATTTATTTTAAAATGGTTAACAAAAAAGAAGAATCGAGTATTCAAATATCTTAGAAGGAATTTAAATTTCAAATTAGACAATGATTTTGTAATAGTTTCAAGTTTTAAGTGCAAATTTAAATTAATCTCGATTTTTGACTTTTTGGGAGAAAATAAAAGATTTTTGAAATCAATTTATTGCGAATAGATTTCGCGTTTGCTTGCCTAAATCAAGGGTATTAATGATGAAACAACACTCTGTAACCATTAAACCAATTGGGCAGCTGAGATAATTTTATACTACAACATACATTATATAAATAACACATAGCTTAGAGGGTGATAGAGCAGATTGTTACCCCGAGAAAACATTGTCAACTGAGGCGAAGCCAAGGTTGACAATGTCTTTTCGAGGGGTAATTACAATCTGCTCTATCACCCTCTAAGCTATGTGTTGTTTAATTTATTATACTGAATGTTTTGTTATTACTGTCCATTAAATTTCAAATTCAAAGTAATAAACTATGTCGTCTTGTACATACAATGTAACAATCATCCGTATTTATTAAAGCGCACACTTGAGCAAGCGTCTCCGTGAAGGGTAATAGAGTATTTGTCATGGGATAGAGTAAATTGTCTCCTTCGTATTAACTAATCAAAATCTGGCATTTTGACATGAAGTATAACAAATTTAAATGTTCCATACCTTGCCTAGTGATTTGATTCCTTTAGATAAAACTAAGAATGTCAGAAGCCAGACAAACAGGTTACATAACGAAAGATCCCATTTAAGATTCTGCATATCTTCTATACCACTTGAAAGTTGTAGAACTTCGTTACTGGAAAAATTAAAAAAAGTAAAAGTCAACCCTATAAATAATGTTCATGTACTTGACCTATGTCTGAAACTTCGTCTGTGTATTTCCCGTTTTCGTTGTTGGTTAATCTTGTTTTTTGTCATTTGTAAAATTTTGATTGCAAATTTCTCTGTTTTACTTATTTCAAATATTTTTACATCGGGCCGGATGGTTTATTTCGTTCGCAAACCTGTCCATTGTTGACCTTTAGAAGCCTTGTAATATTTTGTGTCGTTAGGTTGTTGTCTCATTGACATTTTTAGTGAAAGTAAAAAAACTTAATCAGTTATACCTATTCAATTAAATTGAAACAAAAACCAAACAATTTGTAGTTCACTCCATTATCATTATATGCAATAATGTTCAATAAATTCATTTTAATCAGTTTGTGATATGTATACAGTTAACGCATGTTCATAAAAGGGTAAATTCTTTTTCCTTAATATCGTATGTCTTCTTACTTGAAAACACTAGATGTTAAGCAGCAATCAATCCAACAATCGATCAATCTTACCTGAAATACTCGTCACTTGCTGCCACTGTTGCATTTTCTTCATATGTAAAATTTACTAAAATAAAACGAGTAGTTAAACATTTAAACTCGTTTATTGTTTGCATAGTTTTTTCTTGGTTTGTGCCGTTACACCACTGTCCGAGGTTAGAAGAGGGTTGGCGCCTTCAAACTAGTTTAACCCTGCCACATTCTAAATGTGCTTGTTCAACGCCAGGAGCATGTGGATCAGTAGTTGTCGTTGGTTCATATCTGTCATGTTTGTTTTTTGTACATGTTTTGTTATAAATTAGGCCGTTAGTTTTCTCAACTGAATTGTTTCATAGTTGTCATGTCGGGGCCTTTTATAGCCGATTATACGGTATAGATTTTTCTCATTGTTGAAGGCCGTACGGTTGCCTATAATTGCTTACAACCACTTCATTTGAACTTTGGTGGATAGTTGTCTCATTGGCAATCATACCATATCTCCCTATTTTTATAAAAATAAATGATTTAAGAAAGAAAAATGTCACTTGGTAAGGTGTTCCATATGACACCCTAACTTACTGAACGAACATAATAACATCTAACATGTTTAGTTTATTCCGTTGTGGTGCCAAAAGAACTTAATTTTTAAAATAAACTCTTTTAGCTGTATTTGTTTGTTTTTTTTTCAGAAATTTGATCTATCCCTTCACTACCGCTTTAACTTACGACATGATATATTTTGTATAAATTGCCTGAGAAAAGATGTAAAATGTGTAATCTTCTAAAGTTATCACAAAGGCATTCCTAGTATGGTGTTTGTGTCATTTTTGGTATTATTATGAGTAGGTTGTTATTCAAAGGAATAGGTCCGGTAAGGGCCGATTTTGGCCTCAAAATTTAGGTTCATCTGATTAAAGATTTTGGACACTTTTTAAACACTTAAGTGTCTACTTCAGTCGATTCAATTAGTTTATGTGAAAGATTTGAACTGATTTAGTCATTAAAGACGCTCAAATGCAAGCTTAAATATGAAAAATCTATCAAATATGCCATAATATGTCACTTTTCAGATGGTTTTTGTCAAAAATGAAAGAGGCCGCATCCGTGTTCATTCTCAACCTTTATATAAGTTATGTATTATCATCAAATACAACTTACATTTAAATATTAAGAATGAACACAAATGCGGCCACTTCCATTTCAGACGGAAACCGTCTAAAAATTAACCAAAATGCTAAAATTTCGAAGATTTCAGTAATTTAACATGACTTAATGATGCTAGTACCCGATACATGAGCATTGTATTGTCAAAAATAGCCCATATTTATGTAACAGAAGTATTCTTTTTTCCAATTTAAAATAGCTAAAAATTTACATTTTAACAATTTTGTAAAACTGCTATACTTTGGGGCCAAAAGGGGTCTTACTGGGCCTACTCCTTTTGATACTAACATTTTTTAAATATTTGATTTCCAGTATCACAGATAGCGAGAAATCCTATTTATAAACGGACATTAGTGTAATTAAGGGAATTCGTGTCCTGTTGGATTGAAAGTGAATTTAGTGTTAAAATTGCGTTAAAATAGAGAAAAAATAAAATGAATCAGCGAAAATTAGAGATAATAAACACATATATCTAAGAAAATTAGCAAATCATCAAAGACTCAAACGAGTACCCTTCATCGAAAATTGTACTGAAAATTGACGAAGTTTCATCATTTGATAAATTGGAATGTATACAAATTAATATTATCTCGCAATGAAGTTTTTGCACGTCAGCCAATCAAACGTTGCTGCTTTTGGTGTACCGTTAATCGCGACTGATTATTATTTTTAAAAAGGAATGTTTGCAGTGTAAATTATTTTTGTAATAAATGGTATTACTAACGTGTTATCATATCTGGTTTGGGCGAGCGTTTCTAATAAACCAAACCATAAAAATAATGGTGCATTCTATTAAAAAAATACTACAATTGCAGCTACTTACAACATTCCAATCTTGTGCCGTTCCAAGGATCTTGAAGTGAATCGTTCTGAGTGCCGTCTCGACAGTTACATGTACTCCATGCTTCATCGCAGTACTTCCATGGAACTTCCGGTTGCATCGACGCAAAGAATAAATAAGTGCAGTATGCAATGATAACAGCGTAGTATATGGACACAAGGCTGGAGATTGCCAACATGGTTACACCAAGACCTAAAGTCTAAAAATGTATGGCAATGACATCGTACGTTCAGAAGGCAGTTATATACAGCGTACATGCTTTTTCTGTAGACTGAGGAAATTGTTTTAAGAATCGGACCACTTGTATATATAACTGTCTGAAGACATGTTAGAATTACAAATATTTGCGATTTAAGTTCGAAGGTCTCTGAATTAGTCCCACCAAAGGAAGAAAAAGAACACAAAATACGATTCAGAAAGTGTGGAAGCCGGTTAGAATTACAGTGAAAACAAATTATGTCGTCATAGGTTGTCGTTATTTCGACGTAGCATAGATATGTCGTAATAACGACATACAATTGTTTTCTTGTGACCCTAACAGGTTTTCGTAAAAAAGAAAAACGACACTTGAAAACAAAACGAAATAAACCATCACGCATGCGTCATCTGTAACGTGAATAAGAGATAATACTTCATCCTTACTATTACTATATGATCCGACTATCAATTAGTATCTAAGAACGTAGATTTATGGATGATAAAGGTTAAAATGAAAAAAAAATGATGGAGTAAAATACAATTATACAATATAAAGATATCATCTAAAACATTTAACTTTACCTTTGAACCAAGGGTTTATCCGCCATACTTTAATAGGTCCAAGACTACAGAATTGTCCCAAGCATAGCTCAAGGTAAAATAAAGGTATACCAATCATAACTAGGCAAATGAAATATGGAATGAGGAAAGCTCCTGAAATAGAAACAAGAAAAGATGGAACAATGTTGAAACAATAGATTTCAAAGGAAATTACATTGTGATATAACCACTGAAGACACACGTTTTTATTGGTTTTCGATTCACACATTGGTGAGTTTTCCTTCGTTGGGATAGCTCAGAGAATACTGTCCTGCTATCTAAATACAGCGAATACCAAAAGTCAGTTAAAGAAACAAACATAGGTATACGTCAAGCCAATCAGAGTACATAATCTATTTGATAGAGAATATTCCAGATTGTGCAAAACAAGACGAAATCATCAAAGTACATAAGTTTAGAATAGAAAATTTGCAAAATCAAAGCAAAAGACTGCAACTCTAATTCGCCGTTTCAGAATCTAATGCATTCTGGGTAATATTTTGAAAATCGTACATTAAAACGTGGTGATTGGTTTAAACCGTTCTAAACAATGGAAATTCAACCAATGACGTAACATTATTTTCATTTTGGTGAACGAACAATGATATTACCCATAGTCCTTTTGGTGAACGAATAATGATATTACCCATAGTCCTTTTGGTGAACGAACAATGATATTACCCATAGTCCTTTTGGTGAACGAACAATGATATTACCCATAGTCCTTTTGGTGAACGAACAATGATATTACCCATAGTCCTTTAGGTGAACGAACAATGATATTACCCATAGTCCTTTAGGTGAACGAACAATGATATTACCCATAGTCCTTTAGGTGAACAAACAATGATATTACCCATAGTCCTTTTGGTGAACGAACAATGAGATTACCCATAGTCCTTTTGGTGAACGAACAATGATATTACCCATAGTCCTTTAGGTGAACGAACAATGATATTACCCATAGTCCTTTTGGTGAACGAACAATGAGATTACCCATAGTCCTTTTGGTGAACGAACAATTAGATTACCCATAGTCCTAGATTTTATCTACTATTTCGTAAGCAGATATATTGATTTTAAGGAAGTCCTAACTGGTGTCCGTAGTATAACCACAAAGACATATTTGCAGAATAATAAAAGAAAAGAATCATAATTATCTTCTTCAAAAATGCAAATGTATCTCCAGATAAGTTTATGTAAAACTTTCGAGCAAATTTGTTTATCAATGAAACTGTTTTACGATGCACACTTTACCTCCACCATTTCTAAAGCAGAGATAAGGAAATCTCCATACATTGCCGAGACCGACAGCAAACCCGACACAGGTCAATATAAATTCTAACTGACTTCCCCAGTTCGCTCTCTTGTCGACATCGTCTGCTTCTTCTACCAGATGTTCTTTTTCTTTTACTTCACCATTTTCGTTTTCTACTGCAAGTGTCACCTATAAACGAATACAATTATATGTACATGTACATACATACAAAGATTGATAGAAGATACAAAGGGGATAAACACATGGTCATTACACTAAATCGGTCATTTCAATATTTTAATGTAATTTTATATTTACGAATGATGTCCTTGTACACATGCTAAAAAAATCAAATAAATCGTAAAAAAATTATATAATTATTTTTTTTTGGCGACCAACGAGGGGGTGAACGCCCTCTAGGCCACCTGGATCCGCCAATGGACCCAGTTTCTTACAGATCACATGAAAACGTAATAGGTTTTAAGAACTTGCCTGTTTGATCTTTTTCATAAAAACAAAACTGATGCAGTTTCTTGCCGAGACCAATGTTTACGATAGTACGGCATTTATAAACTTATTCACTACAATATCATACTTAGTGTGATAATACGTATATTTGTGATGTCATACTTAAGAATATACTACTGTTGGAAGAAGTTGGAATTGAAAGTGCGTACACAATGCATTTGTAAATAAAGGCGAAAAAGTGAATGCCATGTTTCAATTAGATGTTTTTACTAACATAAAAAATTGTGACTTGCTGAACCATGTGCAAGATTTTAACCTTATATTAATCAATTATAAGCAAAGCCTTTTGACATGAAAAATAACATCCTTTGTCAAATTGTCACTTAAATCGGAAAAATAATTATACTTAAAGGCAAATGTAATTTAAAAAATGCAGTTTTGGTGTGAATGTCTTCTTCTTGCGAACATACATTCGGATTTCCGTATGATTATTGGAATAAAAAAATAAAAACAACACTTTATAAATTTCATGCGTACCTTTACCTTCATCAGGAATGCCCAAAGCCGACTATTAGAAAACAGTTGAAGAGCCTATATGACAAAAAAAAGGACCTAAAAATGATACCAAAATGCATCTAAGGTCAGCTTTGTCTGATGGAGTTGAAACCTTAGTTTTTCCATAATTTCTAAATTTTTAAAACGAACAGTTTAAGAAAGATCTGTTATAGATCATGGCAGTAAATATAGACGTAGTCTAATTAATAGGTGCAAGATACCGACACATGTTCCTAATGCTATCCATCTTACTGGACAGTGGTGAAGGCCTGTAGTAAGATACGGACACATGCTCCGCATGCTATCCCATCTTACTGACCAATGGTCAAAGCCAGGAAAAAGTTTAAACGCCTATGAACGAAAGTCTTATTTAGGTATTAGAAAATACAATTAAAATCATACATAATTATGCAACACCAAGTAAAAATATGAAAAACATATTTCATAAAATGTAGTCATTTGGTCCAAAAGTTGAATAAAGCACATTATCTGATGAAAGTGAAAATAATCCACCTGATGAATGGGATCCTTTAATCTGATATACGAGGGGATGGATTGAGGGAGGGGGTCTTTAATTATTTCTTTCTTTTTTTACCCATTCTTCTCTAATGTTTATATTTTGCACCCTATTATTTTCTCTATTCTTTATATCTTGCACCCTATTAATTTTCTCTTTAATTTTTTCAATACTCATATTGTTTACCCTTTATTCTCTATTCTGTAAACCCCGAACCCCGATCCAGACACTCGCATAAGCCAATGACGTTATTTCACATCCAGACCGAAAAACAGAGTTAATGTTTAGCTAAGTACAACTCACCGTAGATTGTCACAAAAGTGATGTCATTACTGTCAATCTTATCATATATCTGGACGAAGATGAAACAGATTATACTTTGTAGCTGCAGCATAGATAATTGTCGTACAAACTAGAAAGTGACGTACCATGAAATGGGGTATATTGTACGTTAAGAATAGAAAAACTTAGTACTAGTATGTATGTGTGCCTTATGTCGCAAATCTGCACTGATAAAAATAAACCCCAAGGTTTATCATTTCAACATGTTCGACTGTAAGTCATTCGTGCACCCCTATACATCTTGTATTAAAATGATGTAGATGTTTTTTACTAACATAAAAAATTGTGACTTGCTAAACCATGTGTAAGATTTTAACCTCATAATTATCAATTACAAAGAAGGCATTTTTTACATTAAAATAAAACATGCTTTGTTACTTAAAGCGTCTTAAATGCGTGTTTTTTTTATTAGTTGTTATTGGCTTTGAATTAGCTGTCAGTAACTGCGAGTATTCTCAGATCTGCACTTAGTGTCTTTTTGTTGTGGGGATGTATCTAAGTATCCTGTCACGTCCACTTTGTGTTTTTGTTACTTGTTTTTGTGCTTTGTATCGATCTGATGAGTTAAGCCCTTTTCAACTGATTTTTATAGTTTGTTCTTATGTTTTACTGTTGCACCACTGTCCTAGGTTAGGGGGAGGGTTGGGCGCCGCTAACATGTTTAACCACGTCACATTCTGTATGTGCCTGTCCCAAGTTAGGAGCTTGTAATTCAGTGGTTGTCGTTTGTTGCTGTATATCTTATTTGTTTTTTGTTCTTTATTTTGTACATAAATCAGGCCGTTAGTTTTCTCGTTTGAATTATTTTACATTTGTCATTTCGGGTCCTTTTATAGCTGACTATGCGGTATACGTTTTACTCATTGTTGAAGGCTGTACGGTGACCTATAGTTGTTAATTTCTGTGTCATTTGGTCTCTTGTGGAGAGTTGTCTCATTGGCAATCAAACCACATCTTCTTTTTTTATATACCATAATACTTTAAACCGTTATTTACACCTATCACTTCACATGAAAAATAACAAAAGGAACTTTCATCAAAAACGTTAATATTTATTGTAATTCGATTTTTACCGGAAAACGACATGTATACACGAACCTGTATCATTTGATCATGTGTATACCTATCAGAGTTGGTTAGCTTTTTATGATCGATTGGCATGACT